ATTTCTAGGGATTGAAGAGCAGCACTTGGAGGAAATAAACACTTTGAGGAGTTTGGCTGTGTATGAAACAGCAGGCTTCTAACCTTTTGAGGGCTTATTATTGTAGGAGTCTTCTAGTCTTGTCAGATCCAGGCTCTTAGCATGGTTGGATACTGCTTGCTACCAGGCTTCAGTTCTTGCAGTTCAAATAAATTTCACCTAGGGTAAATTGTTTCCAGAGATAAAAGCATCCTAGAAACCTGGCTTGATGTGGAGGTTAAGAGACCAGGAAGACAGCTGCTGAATTCAGCTTACACTCCACTGTAAAAGTTGCTTCAGCATCAGCTGCTGTCTGAACGTAACTGCTGGGCCTTGGTCAAAGCAGTCGTGTTAGGGCAGATGACCCATTTGTGGTGGTCCTCCTAGCAGCGGGTCAGCTTTGCCGTAAGGAGGCTGGTCTGTGCTGGGCAGGTAGGTATTTCTTTGGCAGTGTGTTGCGTTGAGCTGTGACTCGTGGGTTCTCACCATAGCAGTGTCTGCTGCCAGCCAGCAGCCTGAACACATCTTGCAATGCGAGCACAAAGTTAGCTTCTGCAAATTCAGGTGAGACACTCTTGATGTGCAGGGAGGGAATCAACTTGCCAGCGCCGTCCCAGCTCTTTGAATTTGGAAGAAGCTAAAGTGTGTTGTTTTTACCAGGTATCTTGCGGTACCGAGTGGACTTCCAGGGAATGGAATACCAAGGAGGAGACGATGAATTTTTTGACCTTGATGACTACTAGGTAGTCGACCTGGGTCCGGCAAAACGTGCCTCGCCCCTCCAGCATCCAACCCAAGGAGCAAACTCATGGTGGAAAACACAACAGATCCCTGCCTTAGAATTGGAACATTTCCAGAACTTGATCCACAAACATTGGATATAAAAAAGCAAAACCCTACACTTTGATTTGTCATAGTGTCAGTACAGCAGTAAGCTACTAAGTTCCTATATGCCACTTTGGACTAATTTAAAAAGAATCCCAATTTTTACTTTTACTCAATGGTGAAATTGGTTGCTCTTGTATTTTATGAAAATGATTTTTTTAACCTTCATGATGCATTAACTGCTGTAAACCTCTTCCTTCAAAAATTAATAGAAGTAAGATCCTACTGGTTTGTTTCTTTTTACTTTGATTGGAGAAATCAATTGCTGCATTTTGCAGCAACGTGACCCATTTACATGGCATTCTCAGCTTAGACTGCAGAAGAAGAAATGTAATGAAATTGGAGCCATTCGTTCTCTTCAAAAGAATGAGAAAGCACTTACCTGTGCTAGCTTTATGAGGTGTGGCTTGCAAATTCAGATGGTTTGGGGAGGCTTACCAGCCAAACGTGCTTTTGCCTATCTGCAGAAGCACTGCTCTTACAGACTAGGAAATGCACTTCACTGATTGCAATGAAAATGCTGCTGAGGTCTTTGGGCTTAATTGGATTTGAGCAGTGCAGCCTTCAGATTTTTTTTTTTTTCAGTGTTGACAAAAATAAACATGATTTAAGTGAAGTAAGGTACACTTTGTTTTGTTCCTCAGTCTTTTTTTTGTTTGTTTTTTGCTTTAGGACTGCGTAAGGTTTCCTTGATTATGTGAATTTGATTGAACCCACAGTTCTTTAATGGAAGCGGGTGATTTCCTGAAATAATCAGTAATCTGAGTCCTTGGCTGAAGCCTTAGTGCTGGTGATTTGGGCCGCTTGGTGGGTTGTGCTGAAGCTCATCAGCACCAAGGCGTCCATCTCCCAGCACTAAGGAGCTCTGCTGTGGCTCTCAAGTGTCCTGTAAATCTGATGCTGAGCTCTAACGCGCCCTTAGCGGGTTAAAACTTCTGGTTGCATCAAGATTCAAAAGCTTTTTTGTCATGCCTGCTATGTAGGATGCGTTTCGATCTGTCAGGAATGGCTAAGGGTTTTTCAGGTGGTCCTGCAGGCACAAGATGAAGCTAGTGGTGCAAGATGATCACGTCTTGCTTCTGTTGGGGGTTATTGGGTTCTCTGATGGGCACTGTGACACCTTTGTGCCTGGGAGTTCTGTTCTTCACTGGGATCGCTCTGAATGCATCAGTCAAAAGCAGCTTCTGTTGCTGTAGTTGCATACCTGCCTATTTTTTTTTTTCCAATAATCCTGTTTCACTTGAATGGAGGAGGAGCTCATCTTAAACTTCTGCAACACTGTTCTTTGAGGTCCAAAATTACTGTCATTGTGAGCAATATAACTTGTAACCCTGGATTATAACCCGGCAGATGGCTTTGCTGTTGTTTTCACATCAAAGCTGGAATCTCTCTCGGAAGGTGTCTGGGTCTGCCACAGGTGTGCACAAACCCAGCTTTGAGCACAGCTGCGGCCTTCACAGCGGTATGTTCTGGATTTTGCCATTGTAAATGGGTCTAATGTGACATGACAAGACCAGAAAAATTGGGTGTAAATTTACATTTTTGAATATACTGCTTGTTGTTTCACATGATACGTTTAGGGTATGCAGCTCCTTTTTGTAGTTTTTATTTTTACTATTTAAGTTTGGAAATGATGCCAAATTTTTGTATTTCTTTAATCAATGTGTTCTCTTCAGTGATATATATTGCATTATATATTGATGTGTATATCAATATATACTGATATGTATTACACTTACACATACAAACACGTTAAACGGGGGTGAAAAATCCTAGCCTTTGCATACTATATAGCCTCTGCAGAGAGATCCCAAGCAGTGATATCTTGGTGTTGTGATGTACAGAAATGGAGAAGAGTATTAAACCATATTTAAGAATATAGTATGGACTCCTGATTTATTTCCTTTAGTCCAGGAAACGCCTGCTTTACTCTGTTCTGTGCCTGCAAGGCTGCAGATCTGTATGCGTGAGCTTTAAGGTGGCTGCTGCAGAGCTGAGCTTGGGAACATCTTGTTTCCTCATCATGCTGAGCTGCTCTCTTAAGCTGTGCTGGAAATCTGACTTCAGAGGGGGATAAAAAAAACACCACACCAATAAAAAGTTCAGATGATGTTGTGCTGGATTACCTAAGGTGGTCTCATAGAACTGTGGAGCTGAAAAAATACTTTGCAGGTGCAGGAGCTGGTGCTTAGTGCTCCCATCACAGATCACCTGAGTGCTGAGAGGCCCCTGCTACCCAACCCTTCAGTTCAGGACTAACCCAGATCAGAGCTGTACTTGCTGTACTCTGGCCTACCTGCTGTGGTTTTCCCTGTATCCAAAATAGATGCGTGGATGGCTTTGCCAGAGGGCAATATGGAAATGTGCCATCAATAGCAGGAGTTGTAACAGATGCTTTAAATCACCCTCCACTGCTCTCACCTGGCAGTGATTGTCTGAAGCTGAGCACCCACCTTGCGCTGCAGTGCCAGGACAGCAGGATGGGTGCTGCAGTTGCTGGGCTGCTCTTCCTTTCCATGTAGGCTAATACTGCAATAAGATTTGCAGCTTCTCTGGGGCAGTTTGATATGGAGCTCAGCTTCTGAGCTCCCTGCCTTGCTCCTTGGTCTGTGTTGTATATAGGCCGGTGGTTCTTTGGTCCCTGGGTGCCGGAGGCTGTGGAGCTGTGGTATTTCTGCTGATAAGGTAAAAACGATGCACAAAATGCTTTGCTGTGTGCATCCCATGCTGTCTGCAGCCCTGGTACAAAAAGCTGACTGCATTCAGCTCGTGGTGCAGATCAAAGCGTTGAGCTGAGATCAGCATGAAATGAGGCATCCCATCAGTCAGGGCACGTCATGGGAGAAGCAGCAAACATGCACCCAGCCTCACCGCTTGCTGTAACCAAGCTGTGGATGTATGTTGTTTTCAGGAAAAGCAAACATTCCTCAATTAACCTTTTAACTGCCAGCAAACCTGGTTTCTGATGTTCAAGCTTGCATTCCAAGGAGAAAAGAGGAGCAGCAGAGCCTGGCTGTTGTGAATGGATGCCTGAGAGCTGTCTAGTTAATTGTCACAGGAGCTCCATGGCAGATGTGCTTGGAAGCTGCTGTTACCTCCTGTACTAATCTACATGGTTGCTTCTCACATCTCTTCCCCTTCACGTTTCAGTGAGAAAACACAACTGGGTCTGCTTTGCAGAGTGGCCATGTGAGCGGGGCCAGGTCCCCTCACTGTGTGTGTCTGGCACCTTCCAGCTGGCAGACAGCAGCAGCACTCGGGTCCCTGACATCACCCAGCGAGGTGTCAGCAGAAGGATGAGGCCAGTGAGGAGAAAAGTGGTGAAGTTATTGCTTGTAACTGCTGACAGAAGGACACCTATCCCTTTAGCCCTTCGGAAAGTGCTTTCGATGCAGGCTCGCTTCTATTTGAGTTGCAAGGGTCAGCGTTAGCGCAGGGGCTGTCTCATTTGAAAGCACTGACTTAGTCTTTTTTTTCACCCTGAATAGTGCCACAGGCTTGGGTTGGTGACAGGCACCTCTTCTGCCTGGCATGTGCACAGGACATCACCCTGCAGAGCTCAGAAGTGACTACATGCACCTGCAGGAGCTTATAGGGTGGATGGTTTGTGCTTAAAAGCCATGCAGTGTGGCTCCCAGCATCCCTGCTGTCCTGCGGGCTGCTAACTGAGCATCCTCCTGGAAGGGATCCTCTCTGGATTTGCTGCCTGAATTTGTATTTTATGCAAAGTAAGTCTTACTGCATCCCCCTTATTGCATCCCCCTGTCCAGTGTTAAGTAGGCAATGCATGTTCAGGTATTTGGATAATCGTCTTTTTAAGCACTGCTTTTTGCGTAGCTGTAATTACAGCCAAATTTTGCCCTTTAGAACTCGTTATTCAGGGTGCTGGAGCCCGGCCTGTGTGTTGTCACCATCAGCCTACAGCTGCCATTGTCCTGGTAAGCTGAGCGCAGCCGGCAGCGCTGAAAGGCAGCTCTGGAATTTCGCTCAGTTATTTTTAGTCGGTGGCAAAAAAACTGCACTTCCAACACTTCTGAATCTTTGTCAGTGCATAAATAAATCAAAGGACAAACGCTGGCCTCTCGCTAACAGTGGGACACTGGAGTGGACTTAACCCGCAGCTGGGGTCAGCAGGGATGAGCCCCTCTCCTTGCTGCAGGGCTGCTGCCTTGCATGGGAGGAGAAGGGGCTGCAGGGGGTGGTGGCACAGCTTGTCCTGCTCTATGGATCATTGCCATGCTGAAGGTGCTGCTGGATCCTTGCCCTTCTTCCTGTGCCTCTTTGCAGGCCACTTCCCTTTGCCTATCCTCCAAATAGAGGGAGATTTCCCTTGATTCCTGGGGTGCTGTGCCTGCAGGCTGGCTCCTGGAGCAGCCATGGTCACCCCGTGGATGTGGCAGCTCTGAAATCCAGGACCTGGAGAGCAGAGCTCCTGAAGGATGCTGTGTTTGAGTCTGGGCTGCTGAACTGTTTGGTAAGTGTTAGATTATTCTTTTCAACCCCACTGCCTCTAAAGCTGCAGGGCAAAAACCTGTTTCCAACCCATGGTTTCTCTCTTTTAATATCAGGACAGGTTTCTCTGCAAAGCTGCTTCACTTCTTGGGCCCCCTAGTTTCTGTACTGGCACAAAATTACAGCATTCTCCAGCAAAAGGATCCCTGCAGCTGAGTTTCCTTGTTTTGCAGCCCTTGCTGTGTGCCCAGGACTGCTCTGCTGCTCTCACCCTGCACACCCAATAGCACTCAGGTGCTGACGGACGCTGCCCAGTCTCTGGCAGCTCCATGCAGGTAGGGCAGGGCTGAGTGTTAGGGCTCTTGGTGGTGAGGATGCCCACAACTAGTTGTGCCCCTGCCAAGTTGTGCAGGGCCACTAAAAACTGGTGGCCAGTTCTGGGCCTGATCCTGTTCTCGGGGACTGTCCAGGTTCAGATCTTGGAGGGAGGTGAAAGCCAGGCTGTGAGCTGGGAACGCTGCTGGGTGAAGCCACAGCACTGCAAGTGAGAGATGGACAGGGCCTTTGGTTTCCATCATGCTGTGCTGCTCATGTTGGCATGGGGGAAAATCCTCCAAAGATTTTGGGGTTCTCCTGAGCCACGTGCATGCCCAAGCAGCTGCTGCTTAAAGGGGCACAGTGCTGTGCAGCCCTGGGCAGCAGGCACAGGGGCCACATGCAGGCTCACAGAATCCTTCTGTGTTTCTTGCCTGTGTTTGGGGAGCTGCTTTCAGCCCAGTTGGCCATAAGAAAAGTTCACGGTTGTCCCATGCCTGTGTGGTACCCAATCCTGGGGGAGGGCTGTTCAGGAGGGATGTGCTCAGCACAGACCTCTGGGTTTCCCCTAATGGGATATCCCTGAGTGCTAAGGGCTGGATTTACCCAAGTTAGAAGAATGTATTCTTTGTGCACAGGAGGGCATGGAGGCAGGCAACTCACCTAAGAGCTAAAAGTGTGTGGAAAGTCCTTTTTCTATTAAGGAGAATGGAAAACAGAAAAGGGAAAGTGGCAGAAAAACAGGGCAGGGAGAGCCATCCTCTGGATGCTGTCCTTGAGGAAAACCAGGTGGCTTTGAATGGCCATAGGCAGCCTGGAACTGTGGGTCCTGCAAGTTGTGCTCCTGGGGCTCATCACACTGTGACAACCATGTGGCCCCATGCCACAGTGCTCTTGGGCCGTCCTCAGGCAGGGAGTGATGCTCTCACTTTCTTCCCACTGTGCCTATGGCTTTGTTGTCCTTCGGGCGCTACAGCCCTTGTGGAAGGCTTTGCTGCTGTTCTGCCTTTTCTTTGTGAAGCGTGTGACCTGGCGGCCAGAAAGCAAGAAAGGAGAAGTTTGCTTAGAGATTGTCTCTGTTATAGAAGGGCTTTTCTTATCTGTTTAAGGCTTTTGAGGTTGCTGAGCTGAGATGCCTGTAGGAGCCCAGCGTGGGGCTGGGCACAAACCTGTACGTGGCTGCTTCTCACGAGGAGCAGTTTCCCTTGGTGTGCCCCAAGCGTGCCATTGGCCTGAGCAAGCTGCTGTTGACTCGCCATGGGAAGGTACAACTTCAACCTTTTGCACATGAGATAAAGCATGGGGACATTCCAGGTGAGAGCACTGGAGTCCATCTCTGCCCAGGTGTGCTCGGAAGCCAGGAACACGCTTTGGGAGGGCGGGACATGAGGATGCATCAATCCTACACCTGGGTTTCGTTGTCACTGCTGTTTTGTCACATGCCAACACGCCCTGTCTCTTTCTCGTCACTCTTTTCTTCCCTCTTTCACCACAACGATGTCTTATCTCCACTAAATCTTCTTATTTTATTACACCAGGGTGGATTTTGTTTGCAGCCTAAGCAGCTGTCCACAGCCCACAGGGATTGCAGAGACCTTTGTAAAGCCATGGGGTGCAGGGGTGGCACTCCTCTAGGCCAACCTCTGCATTTCCAGGTGCCTGCTAGGAGCTAGGACTGCCTCCTGTGGAGAAAATCAAGACATGTCTGGAAAGATGTGACAGCATGTCTACAGAGGTGTAAAAACAAATATATTCCAGGCATCCGAGTTAGAAAATAATGAAGAAGGTGTGTGGTTTTGACTGTAGTGGAGCTGGGAGCATCCCTGAGCGCTGCAGGGTGCAGAGCAACACTGCTGGGACAGCTGGGTCACAGCCCTTCCTGCTGGTTTGATGAGGGCTGACCACAGGTCTGCATGAGGTCATCTCTGCTCCAGCTTTGAGGCGATTCTCACTGCCCCTTGTCTGTTCCATGCAGTTGCAGCAGAGGCACAACCCCAGGGCTGCTCCAGCACACCCCACCCAGCCATGAGTCATGGGATCCGGGCACTGCAGCTGGGCACGGCCTCATTTCCCACACCTGATCTCCATTTCCTTCCCTGATCTGTTATCTCCACATCTGTATTCAACAAGCAAAGCCACTGGAGGAGCAGGCACAGGGCTGAGCCTGTGTCTGGGGCAGGTGGGTACCCGGAAGCCCATTGAGCAGCACTGCTGCCTGTGACAAAAGCCACGTGCAGCGTCCTTGTGCCAAGCAGCCCAGCAGCCAACGCAGATTTTGCTGCTCCAACCCTGCAGGGTTCTGCTGTGCAGGCCCTTCCTGCAGCCTGAGCTCAGGGCTCTGTGCTGACCATGGTTACTGCATCTGCAGGTGCAGGAGTTGTTACACATCCAGCTCTTTATCAAAATTAATAATAAAACATCAAACCTCGTGTCATCCATTTTGGATACAAAATATTTATTTGAAGGAGGAAGAAACATTTTCATACTTGGAGTGTGCTTGTGTCCTGCTCCTACCAGCTGTGAGTGAAGTAATATTGTTCTGCCAGCAGGGACATTTGAATTGTATCTGCCTTTGCTTCCCTGTGCTGCAGTGCATTACTGATCATTGAGCAGCCTGCCATCTCTATCCAGCAGCTGAGTTCTTGATTTAGAGCACACACCCAACAAACATGCTTTTCAAGTTGTTGCAGTGATTCACCAGAGCCAAGTGACTCGGCAGAGTATTCTTTGTATTTTGGACTAAATTTATCAAAGCCTTGGTTCTTCATCCACCTCGTTAGGCCCTGGTTGGAGGAATCTCCTTGTCTTGAGAAGCTTGCCTCCGAAACAATTTTAAGTTACAAATATGAGGCTGTATGTCATGTTGTCTCAACCTTCCAGCACAAAAACCCAAAATCTGATTTTTATAACACTTACCTTAATTACTGCCAACACTTCTTTCTTGTTTTTTTTTTTTTTTTTTTTTTTTTTTTCTTTTTTATTCTACCAGTGATTAAGCAAGTTACAGATTTTTGCCCGGGTTCCTTCCAACGGAACATTCTGCTGCAGTGCTCGAGTCCTGCAAGTGCTCCTGTAGTGCCTGTCACTGAGATGCATTAATGGCAGTGCCATTCAGGCTGCAAGGCCATGGATTTACTTCCCTTCAAACCCCTGCAGGAATGTTTGCCTGTTTCTTTTGTTACATGTTCAGCAATGCTTTGCACTTTCAGGAAACAATACAGCAGTGCCTAGGTGTACAGTGTGCTTTATAGGTGGCTCTGTGACATGGCATTGTCCCGGCCCGCAAGGCTCTTCCCTGCGTGTATTTTGAATTAGACCTACTGAATTTTTGCTTTGATGTTTCAAATCTGCTGGCTTGTTTGGTCCCTGGAGTGAACAAAGAGAGCGAGCAGATTGGGATCTGCATAGCAACCAGGGAACAACTTCATCTGCAAGTCCTTAATTGTAGGCAGTGGTGTGAAGGTGGAAAGAATCCAGCCCAGCTCTCAGTCCCCAGGACTGGGTCCCATGGGGATGGAGAGTGTTGGGGTGAGGATGGGGGTCAGTGTGAAGCTGTGAGGGTCCTGGGGCAAGCACACAACCGTGGATGTGCTGAGCAAGTTTTGGCTGCAGCCGTGTAAATGTGGCAGATCCTGGGGCACATTAGTCCCATTTCCTCCACAGGGTGCTGGGCAGCACGGGGGAGATGGGGTTTGTGGACAGGGAGATCTGCTGGGCTCCGATTGCGTTCAAATTGTTGTGTTCCCAGGCAACAAACAGGAGCCAAGGAAATGGCCACAAGTTGTATCAGAGGAGGTTTAGGTGAGACACAGGAAAATTTTTCTCTCAGAGTTGTCAGGCACTGGAATGGCTGCCCAGGGAGCTGGAGGAGTCGCTGTCCCTGGCAGTGTTCAAGAGGCATCTGGATGAGGAGCTGTGAGATCTGGGTTAGTGCTTGTGGTAGCAGTGGTGATGGGAGGACAGTTGGACTGGATGATCTTGCAGGTCCAACCTTGTGATTCTGATTCTAAATTGTGTGAGAAGGACGCAGTTCTGATGGGAAGAATTCTTTATAGCATTGTTATGAATAAAGTACACTTCTGCTGACAGAAAAGCACCACAAAGCAGGCTTCTTGTCAATAACAAAGGACTTTGCGTCATTTCCATCTGCTCTACTCCACATTTTTAAACACTTGGCTCAGGTTTTAACAGGTAAAACGTGCTGAGCAGGAGAACTACCGTGCGCATTTCTGTCAGAAGCATGGCATCGCAGTGCTGCGTTATTACACCAGACTCTTGCAGATGACGCTTTTGCTTCCAATTTTCAACGCATACCACCGCATTCAGTGCCTGCCGCATCGTCAGGTCGACCGTGCTGTCCCTGTAACACTGCGCAGCCGCTGGCGGGCGCGTGGGGCACCTGCAGGCCTCAGCGCCAGGCAGGCACAGAAAGAGCCGGGAGCCGGAGGTGGGCCGGGCCATCCCGCGCCAAGCCCCAGGGCTTCACCTCAGCGCCTCTGAGGGAGGACCAAAGTAAGCGGGGCCAACTCCAAGCTAAGGAGAAAACCGGGCTCAAAAAGCGAAACGCAGCGAGAGCTGACTGCGGGTCGAGGTTGCACACAGCCCCACCGTTTCCCGCCCGGCGCCATTTTCCCTCACCACAGCGCTCACACGCCGGGGCCCGGCCTGCTACCGAGCGTGGCCCGTCAGGCGGCTCGGCGCCTTCCCGGCGACCCCCGCACGGCCGCAAAGCGCGCCGGGCGCCTGCCGCAACCAATAAGAGCGCGGCGCCGCGGGGACCGCCGGGAGTTGTGGTCCGCTTCGAGGAGAGCGGGAGGCGGCGGGCGCCGCTTTTCTTCTGGGCGTCGTGACGTCACGTGCGTGCGCGCGCGCGAGCGGGGGGGCGGGCGGGCGAGCGAGCGAGTGGCGGCGGGGCCTGGCGGGCGCGGGGCGGGCGGGCGCCGCGCGGAGCTGCCGCCGCTATGGAGCCCGACTCGGTGATCGAGGACAAGACTATCGAGCTGATGGTGAGTCACGGCCGCCCCTCCCCCTCCGCAGCTTCCCGCTGGGCCCGGCGCCGCGCTGTGGGCCCGATGGGCCCGGCGCTGCTTGGAGGTTCCTGCGGGCCGGGCCCGGCCGCTGCGCCGCTCCTCCCGCCTCCTTATTCCTTTGGGGGGCCGCTGAGGAAAAAAGCGTTAAAAAAAAAGAAGCAAAATAAAAAAGCAAACAGCTAATTCAAGAAATAGAGAAACTAACGAAAAAAAAACCCACCAAAAAGCAAAAATCAAAAAAACCATACCGCGCATCCAAATGATCGCTGTGTGAATGGGGGGGCTGGAGGCGGGCTGCCTGCACCCGGTGCGCGGCTGCGGTCCGGAACTCCGGGCCCGGGGGGAGCGGCCCTTCCGCCAGCCCTGCAGGGAGCGGCCGAACCGCGGCCCGGCGGGAAGGACCCGCATCGCCACCGCTGGGGGGGAGCGGCGCCGGGAGCTGAGAGCAAGAGTGCGAATCTCCGGTACTGCGACGGTTCTATTTTGTATCGCCGTACGCGGTATTTGCTGCTGTATACGGAATTCAGCACGATGCAATGGAGTTGGGTGGTAAAAGAACCCGAAATGGGCTGTTGCTGCGCTGTGAGGGGGAGCTGGGCGCTGTGTAGGCACTGGATGGTTGGGGTTTTTTAGCTAGCTTAGCGCCCGCTCACACAGCAGCTGTGGAAAACGCCAGCTTCCCTCTGGTGTTGCCTGCTGTGTGTAAGCACAGATGGAAGGCCAAAAGGAAACGGCCCGATGGCATTTCGGTGCTCGCTGCCCGTCGGTGAGGCCAGCAGCTTGAAGGCCATCTCAGTGATCCCACTGTCCCAGTGGATCTGGGGAGCTCCCTCTCATTGTCAGCGACATCGGAGCGGCTGCGGTGCAGCTGTGTCTTCCAGCAGCAGCTCCCTGCAGAAAGCTGCCTTCTGCATTTCCAACACAGCCAACTGGATCCCAGCAGTGCTTTCCTAACTGTGCCAGCGGGTTGCAAATACCGCCTGGCCTTGGGGCGTGTGAGCTGCTCCAATGGGGCTGGGAGGGACGGTGGCCTCACTCAGGTTTCTTGCTTGCCCTTTGTTACAACTCTCCCTTTTGAGACGTCTTCCCTGGTTTTGGCCAAATTGCCAACGGGCAGAAGCAAATGTAATTTCTGATAGCAGCTCTGTCCCCTCGTTACAGCTGCATCTTGGAAATGTGCTAAGGGAAAGGCAAATATGTATGGATATTAAAATTTTCAATTCTTAGGAGGCTTAGGAAACAAATTTTTTCCTTTTTCAAAGCAAATTAATATAAAATTTTAGTAAAATGAACAACTAATTCTGTAGTTCCCAATAGAAATTGATATTCCATAAAGCTTAGTTGGTAGTTTAGTTTTGATCCTGGCAAAGGCTTGCAGAGAACCACTTGTGTCTGAGCAGAAATGTTTCACTGGAGTCACCAAAAGCCCATTGAAATGGAGCCCTGGCACAAAGGTTCTGTGCTCTGCTGTTGTGGCAGATGAGATTCTCTGGAAGGTTTGCTGAAACAAACAGAGCAGAAGTAGAAGTTGTATTGACAGAGCTTTCAGTCAGCAGTTACAGTGTTTTATGCACTCTTGTATCAGTTGATAATAGCAGCAGTAATCATTGCAAAGCCAGAAATGATCTGGAGGTGCAGGACCTGATGGATGCTCCTCTGTTCGAGAGTGTTATTGTCAGAAAGAAGAATGGGTGCTTGCTTACTGCAGGCGAGAAGTTGTAGCCTCCTGCTGATCCAGGAGGCTGTATTTGCAGCACTTTGGGTGCTTGCTCACTGCCTTCCAATGCCAGAGCTGACTCCCCAGTACTGCAGCTGCAGATGGATGATGCAGGAGTTCTGAGCAGCAAATACAAAGCAGTTCTGAGTGGCTGATAAACAAGAGATAACGTGTCAACGTGTTGCATAAAGGCAGAGAACAGGGTGTTCTAGCCCTCAACTTCTCCTTCACTGGCTGGGTCATTTATGCTTATTTAAAGAAAAATCAGTCATAGAAATAATACTGGTCTATTTTTAAAGCTGAAATCTAAGAGAAATATTTTAAGGTTTCAGAGTGACAACTTCTATTTGCTGTATGGAGTGCTAGCTAGTGTTCTGGAGTCGCCGTCTTAGGACAGCTGGAGGCTTTAGCTGTTAAGTTCTAGCTGTGGAAATCACGTCGTTAGCCTTTTAACAGTGATGAGCAGGTGATTTGGTGAGGACTTTCCGTGGCTTTCAGTTGTACACGGGATGGTATTTGGCCCACAGGCCTGTGCTGGCACTGGGGGGATGCAGGGCTGCAGCTGGGCTCGGGGAGCGCTGTGTCCATTGGATGCTGTGAGCGGGTGAAGGATTGGCAATGAGGAGTAAGGAGGTAATCCAGAACAGATGGAGGGCTTGCCAAAATGATGCAGAGGGCTCTTTCTTTGCAAGGTTTTGGTTTTCTCCGTGAAATCAGATAACAGGAACCTTTTTGCTTTTCTAAAGGATCAAACTTTCTGAAGGTGAAATACTGACAACAAATGATTTGTGAAATGTGTTTGTTTTTTTTTACCAACGCATCCTGAGCTGTTTATAAAATCTGAGTTCAGTTGCATCAAACCCATTACACGTGTTTGCCTTGAATACCTGCTAAAAGCCTCGTGGTTCTCCTTCCCTCTGAAAGCTGCACTAAGCCACGCTTTTGTTTCCCCCTGAGGCTTTAAGACAGGGGATAGTTAGTTTCTTAGTTTGCGTTAAATGCGGTTGTACAAGAACGTAGAGGTGTGGAAAACACATCCGGTACAGGTTAAAAAGTGACACAGGCACGGGTGGAACTGCCCTCATCGTAACATCTGGATCACAAATAAAAAGTGTCCTTTTCTCCCAGTGCCTGCTGGGCACCCCGGGGCATGGTTACTGGAGTGCTCCCACTCACTGAGCTGCCATCAGCTCTTCCCGCTGTGCCCTCGATGTGCTGTGCTGTGCTTTGCTGTGCTGCCAGCGCTCACCTCCTGCTGCAGAGCTGGTGGTTGGAGCTCTGCACGCCACTGCTCCATGTGGGGGGCATGGAGGGGCGCTGGGAAGGAGGGCTGTGCTCAGCAGAACCACCAATGTGTGCTTGTTTATGTGTTATTGGAATCTGTATCTCAAACTTACCTATATGGAAAATATTCTTCTTCGTGTGGCACCCTTGTTGTCTAGAATGTCTCTCTCATTGCTGTCCAGTGTTTAAGTGCCTCTGTAAATAATAAATGAAGAACTATAATTCAATATGTTACCAAAAGTCTTTCGGTTTCTCCTGGCAGAGTTTTGATGGGAGCTGCAGGTCTTCAAATTCACAAGGTAACATCTCAGAACAGAGCGTTTCTCACAGGACCACTGTGAGACCGCTGTGTTGCCAGCAGCAACTTGTGTAGATCGTGCTGGTGCTACCTTCAGTTCCCTGGGTCACTGCAGCTGGAGGTGGCGTGCACCCAAACGGTGTGAAGCTTTACTGTGCAACACAAACCTGAGCATTCCATTTGGAAACTCACGTACAACAGCTGGATGTGTCTCAATAGGCCTATAATGTTCTGCCTTGTTTCTTCCCTCCCTGTCTCAATCAGTGCATGCCAAGCAAGCAGTTGCATTTTGTTCAATTTTTCCCAAATGTTTCAGAAGAATCCTTCAGAGGGTTTACTCTTGTGGTGATAGAGATAGTGATGGACTGGGCGATGATCGTATTTGCATCTGGAACAAAGGAGGCACTGTTCTGGCTCCAGTGTCGCTGTTTTGCTCTTAATCAAAGCCTGGGAGTAGATGGAGAGCCAGCAGGACCTTTGGAGACCTGTGTATTAACTAGTTACTGTGCTTTGCTAGGACAGCAGGCTATGCTTTACAGTGCTCTTTATTTATTAGCTAAATGAGCAGTGTTCTGAGCTGTGTGTCAGACATGTGAGTGTGCAGCCAGCAGCATGCTGGGCTGCTTCATCAGTTAGGGGCAGAAAGGGAAATGGTGAGGGCAGGTGTCTGACGTGGTGAGGTTGCCTGCTGGCTGCTCGGGAGGCGCAGAAGAGCCTTTGGGGCAGCAGATGTAAGATCTGTGCTGCTGCAGAGGTCATTAGACTGACAGTCACATTTCATAGTGCCCGTAAGAGGAGGAATGAAAATGTAAAGTGAATAGATTACTGTGACTTTGGCAGCAGTACAGAAAATGGGAAGGAAGAGCTTAAGAAAATGAATTAGAGCTGGGTAACTGAATTTAAAGCCAGCAGAGCTATGGTGAAATGAGGGAAGTAGCCAGAGACGTGTGGAAAGCTGTACCTTTTGGGAAGGGCTTGGTGGAACAATAGGCTGAGTGGGGAACTGATTACCAAGGGAAGAAGGGCGGTGGTGAGCACAGAGATGCTCAGGGCAGGTAAGGGGTGAGAAAAGCCAGCTGAAGTACTGCTTTGGATGGCAGCAGCTACTGGTCTGTTCAGATGGAGGAGAACTGCAGATGCTCCATTTGTGGGGAAAATTCTGAACCTAAGCATCTTTAAATTCTTTCCAAGGGAAGCTTGCAATTTTTTCAGGAAGCTCAATGCTGGCATTTCACCAAAGGCTTTTTAAATCTCATTTGGGATTATTTTTGCCTCATTTCAGTTAAATTATCTAACATGACTCGATTTGCCAGCCTCTGCAACAGCGCTGAGCACATGAAGAGCAGCAGCCAGAGTTGCCTTGGTGCCTGAGAAGCACGTGTGACCTCCAGCCCTTGTGAGCATCCCCAGAGAGCTCCAGGGCACTGAGCTGAAATTGCACAGGCCCTGAATCATGCTGGGAAGAACCCAGTGTGCTACTGGCAGTGTGGGATGGGGTCGGACCCACGGGCAGGCACACCAGCCCGGCCCTCTGACCTGCTCCTGGGTGCTCCTATAGGAACTGACAGGGTGCATGGATGGCGTTGGTGGTTTCAGGCCGTGCTGGCTGTGTCTGTCTGTCCCTTGGGGAGAGTTGTTGGATGTCAAGAATTTGGATCACCAGCATCTCAGCAAATCAAACAGAGCTGTCTTCTTCCAAGCTGTACCCTGAGAGAGGCTAGGGGACGTTCTCTGAAGGATGGATGTACCTTTTCATTTTGTGTGTGTTTGCTAAAGCACCTTCGCTGCTTGTTAAATCAACTTGATGTATGGCTTTTGATGCGTTACGTTTTATTGCTGTGCAGTTTAGAGGTCACTCTTGCTTTGGCATTTTCAGTTTCATCTTCCTGTGCTGCTTTGAGTGCTTGTGCAGCAGGGTGAAAAGCGAGATGGGCTTCATATGAAATGGATGGTGCAGCAAATGTGCAGTGAGGCAGGAATGGCGTGTGGGAGAGAATGAGGGACCACGGCTGTAAGAGGGCTGCTCTGCAACGAGCTGCTGTTACTGCAAGGGAGAGAAGAAATGGAAGGGAAACGAGGATATGTACTGAGTTGTTTAAACTAATGCTGATTAATAACAGTACTTACATTCTAGCTTTTTTTCTCTGGTGATGTTTTCTTTATACTAATGCTACTGTTTATTACATAATCTGATTTCACAGCTTGATTTCCATGGTGCTGATAGTACTTCATTATTCACAGCAAATCCAGTTTTTCTGGAAAATCCCTCCCTTCTCCAGTTTCTTGGTGTATTTATGAGTTCATTGGGGTTACATCTGATAGCCTGCTTCATTTTCCTGTGCTACTTCCATGCATTTCCCACTACGAGTGGTGCATGACCGAGACCAAATAATGCAGAACTATTGCAATACCTTTTGTGCTTTAATAATAAAAAAAAGGGAGTCTCCTTTTGGGAAATTAATTCCTTTCTGAAACAGGCAAACTTGACAATGGGAGTGTTTGAGGGAGGTGTGATGTTTCTTCATTGCTTTGCTGAAACAGGTCCCCGTAGGAGTTGCATCCCTGTGCTTGTAACCTGCAACCGCAGAGTGTTTAGAGGTAAGCACAGAGTAGTTCCACATCCTGGGCCCACTCCTATACAAATGCAGACAGATTTCTAAGATGTAGATAAATACCTGCTTGCTAGGAATAGGGGGAACCACTGTGCTTTCCGTGTAAACTGGCATAAAGCTTTTGGGATCAATTCTTGGCCATACAGCGTGGCAAAGTTTGTTTCCTTCACTGGCCTGGCTGAGGCAGCCAGCTGTGCGTGGTGTGGCCTGGCTGCATTCTGTTTTGTGCTGCTGAGGGGCTCCACAGTGTGGAATTTAGGCACAGAAGCCGTGTACAGCCTGCACTGTGTGCCCCCTGGGGAGGTGTGTGTACTCAGGACGGCTTGCACACTGATGTGCTGTTTAAATCTTCTGTCTTTTTAAGTCGCACCAATTGAAGCATTTCAGACAAAAGCTCTTGGAAAGCCTATACTCAGAATCTGTTTGCAAAACTTAAGCTCCAATTACAGCTTGTATTTGATAGGAGATCTTTGAAGCAATTCTGTCTTGGCACCACAGGACCTGCCAGGGAAACTTGATATTCATGTTGTCTCCATCGCTCCTCCATGGAGAGGAGCTTCCAAGAGAAAAATCAGACCTGTGCTGTCACACTCACATTCGTGCCTTTGTGCCTCTGCTGCTGACATCCCGCTGGCTCTGTTTTGATTTAACAAATCAGTACATTTATATAATTTTGATGGCTGGCTGAGCTATATTGTACTCTTAAAGTTCTGAGTCATATGCCGTGACATCTTATTGCTTTACTTGGCAGCATTAAGGTTCATGTATTGGATGTGGTATTAGACTTACAGCCCTGCTTCACCTTTGAAATGTATGTTGCCCTGTGGTTGATGCCTGCTTTACAAAGGGTCGAAAAGCAAAACATCATCCCACGCTGGAGATGCTCCTCTCCTGGTGTACCAGGATTGGGTTGGAAAGGTGAGTGTGAGAGATGGTGCTAGCTAGCTGCTCTGTGGGCAGTGCAGCGGTGTGTTCTAGAAAATGCTTCTGCTGCTTCTGGCTGGGGTTAGAGGAAATCATTCTGTCGGCTGTCTCAGACTTGCAGAAAGGTCTGGCTAGGAGTCACACAGCCTGGTCTGTTCAGGGTAGGCTTTCATTATTCTGTTACATCTGTAGTTGGAACTTCCACAGGCTCGGTTTTCTCTTAGGTTACAGTTAAAGCTACTTCAAAGGCTTGGTCTCCTACTGTAAGCATGCTGCTGGAGGTTCTGGATGAAGTCCTTTACCATCTTGCTCTGGGAGGGGTGCCCTTCCTCTCAGTCAGGAATAGCGTGCCTTGTTTTGCTCTCTCCCAGCTCCGGGTTTTTCTGGAGGTGCAGCAGTGCTGAGTGCTCTCATGCGGATGGCTGGCTCCATTTGTGCTGCTGGGTGCATGAGGAAAGCTGGATCATTTTGAGTCTGGAAAAGGAAAAAAAACAAAACTCAAACAAACGTGGCAATGAAATGCTTTGGAGCATGTTTGTGGAAAAATGAGGAGAGCTACTGCAGTGTTTTGCAAAGCCACGAACTCCCAGCCTGGCAGTGCACACAGCATGGTGGTCAGCTGTACGCTGGTGGATGAAGCTGTAGTGGTCACTCCACCGTAGGCAGCGCAGTTTCTTCTCATCTTCCTCGATCTTTGCAAAGTGAGCTGCTGTCCCAAAACAATTTGTTTAGGATTCATTCATTTAGAACATGGGAAAGAGCAATTTGTTGTCTGTGAGTCCATTTCTTTGTCTTAGATCCACCAATCCGATGTCCCCACTAACGCAGGTGTTACTGGTAAGGTGTATTGGCCCTGTCTAACAGTGCTAGCAGTGCTTAATTGGAATTTCATTCAAGCAAGGAGTAGATACACCAAGCTGAAGATGATTGGCTGCTCTCTTTTAACAGAAAAGAAGGAAAGCCCATTCGAATCCCCTTTCATTCTGGATTGGTGGATCTGAAGCGCAGAAACAAAGTTTCAGGTAAGCAGTCACCCTGTACTATATCCTGCTGCTTCTGCTTAGATGAGTTTGTCCGCAAGTTCAGTACCTGCTTTAACTGCTTGATGTCCCTCAGATTGCAGAACACCCCAAGCTGCCAGTGTGAGATTGGAGTGAGGAGTGTATTCAGGGGAGACAGCTGTGCTTTGTTAGGATGCTGCTGATCTCTGAAGGCAAGGCCTAGGATAGATGTGCCATCTGCAGAGCTAGACAGCAGTACCTACAGACAAAGGGGCACTAAGGAAACACGTCCCAGATCTTGCATCTGGAAGGTGGAGGCAGCCTTATCAATGACTTGAAACTCTTCTGTTGAGTTCAGAAACTAATGGCTATCTGCTCTGATTTCTGGCTGTATTTTCTCGTGAGTTCATCGGAAATGTAGAGAACAACTCCACTCATTTGTGTTACAAATTGCAGTGGCTTTGTCCTGCTGTTCAGGGCAGCGCTTGGAACCAGCATTTTAAATCCTTAGGGAGATTTCAGGTTCTCTTAGTGATGGTTCTCAAAGCGGTGCTGAGGAGGTGCTGCAGAGCTGCAGCAGGTTTGTTTCAGAGTAGCACTGTGGGTGTGTTTTGAGTCCTGTTGCTCTGAGACTTTGAAATGACTGTAAAAGGCTGCAGTATGGTGTTTCAGATAAGTTTGGGAGGTATCTGTGTGTGTTAGGAGGAAAAGTCAGATCCCTGGCTGATAGAGAAGAATGTTATGTGCCTTGAATGTCCAGTGGGAAGGTGAGCCCCTCTCCTAAGGCCCGGCTCTGTTGTGAGTTAGTGCTTTAATGAACTTGTCAACTCATTTCTAAAGCTAGTGTGAAGCAGGTATGCCTCAATTCCTTTTGATATTAATAGCAATTACACTAAGCTGCTTGAGTGCTCTCCTCTGTAGACAGCTATTCAAACAGATGTTAAGGCCTCAATATTTAATATATCATAGAAGAAACTCTGGTAGGTGCAGCTGATACTTTGTATTATTTTAGCTGTGTCTTTCATTTGCTGGTATGGTATTTTCTGCAAAAATCTTACTTGCATTTAGTTGATGAACACATACGTAATGAATTGCTTGTGCATGGGATACTGTTGTTTCCATGCTTGAGTTTTTGAATACTTGAGTGATTAGGTTAGGGTGAAGAAGTCCTGGGCATGGTTTTTAGTACAGTCTGAAAAATCCCACCCATTCTGAGGGTTAATCCTTAGTCTGACACATTTCTTGCAGTCTCTCCTACTCCATCAGGCCATCCCTCACTTTGGAGCTGCACTGCAATAGAATCTCCTGGAGCGTTTGCTGCCCTGAGTGTGCCCTTTTCTAAAATGAGAGAATTGGGAGACAGGACTGATCTTGACATCTCTAATGATGAGAACTGTAATGAGAAAATAATTTAACACGCGCTGGGGGGAGGGAAGGAGAAGCTGTAATATGTATTCCTGCTGATTAAGATCCCCTGTGTGCTGGTATTCAATACTGTACGAATTGCTGAACTGCTTGAAACGTGGAACAGTCCTGTCAGAGGCATTCAGAAAGCTAAGCTGAGCACAGATGTAAGTGTATGCACATTGCAGGCTTAGTTCTAGTCCAGGTTTTGAATCCTACATTTTTAAGAGTAAAGTGCAAGTCAGCTTCAAAGGCTGCTGAAATACTCCCCTGCAGCATGAGGAACACAAACACTGACCGTGTCTGTAGCATTTTATAACACACTGAGGTTGGATTTCACATGTACTTCAACTCTTCCAAGTTAAAGTGCACACTGCTTTGTCCATATCTGACTTTTTAAATCAGGTTAATTTTTGTTAGATTGCATTAGTCCTTATCCTTCATAACTTGACACAGAAAAGAGTCAGAGCCAGCTCTTACAGTCTTAATAAGCTTCATCTAGATTTTTTGAAGTGTTTGACTTACTCACTGTAAGTAAGTTTTACTATTCCAGTTGGCAGCACCAGGTCTCCACAGCTGTTTTTTTCCTCCGGTTCTGATTTACTGTTAGCAGGTGTACTGCTGTATGAAGGCCTGTAACACCTCTGCTCCTTCAGCATAAGGGAAGGAAAGCCAGTTTTCTTCTGAGGGGGTCTCTGTGTAACGTAGGATGTGCGAGTGCAGCAAGGACTGTTGGAATTCTGAGCTTTTGAAACTGCTGGAGCTGGGATGTTGTGTATGAAGGACGTAAAGATTCACCTAGATACTGTATTTCAGAAGATTTAGAGTGATTTCAGTGGAGAATAACTATGCTGTAAATGTACTGGGATTTTCTTTGTAGTCTTCCATGTCCTCCCAAAAACGAGATGCTGCATTTCACGAGTTTTATCCTGACGAATGAATTATAATGGAGTAAGGTTGTTGCTGTATTCAAAGAAAATGCATTTAATCTTTTCTCCACTGAACCCCTGTTCCTTTTGTAGCATTTGTTCTGTTGTAGCGAACGCATACTTTGATCTTCAGGAGCAGAGCGGGACTGCATTGTTGATCACGCTTCTGTGAATTCATTGCCCTATGTAGAAGAACTGCGTGGTAATGGAAAACAATTTTTCAGATAAATTCTCATTTGTCTTGCTTGGAGCTTCCTGAGTTCTCACTTAGTGTTCTCCCCAAATGCGAGAATCTTACGTGCAGGTCTTGAATGACAGCTGGGAGGCTGAGCTATAATATTTTTGGAATGGCAGTCGTTTATCTGAATAGATTTTTCTGCTGGAGGTGTGACTCAGCTATTGGTTTCCTATTATTTTAATTGGAAAGGAAAAATCAAAAATGTTTTACAAGTTCAGATGAGTTTGCTACTCTTTCACAGCTCTTCCAAACACAGCAAAGCGAGAGTAAGCCAGATCTCTTGTACGGAAACCGCCTGCTTGATGTGGGAGTGTGGCCGTTCTTGAAGCAGAACAGCTGAGCACAGGAGTTGCACTCTGGGCATTGTGGGGGTGGTGCTCAGCCTTCCAAACAGCCGCTCAAGACTGGATGTGAGATTGCATTTTGTATGTGGAAAGGTAGTGATGTGATGGCACCGGTCCATACCTGTGTGACGCATGTGAATACACCACACCTCTCAAGGGACAACTTGGTTTTGAAGTGAAAATAGGAAGAGTGCAAAGTCTTGCTATTGGTCTGACAAATTTTCTTTGGTTTAGAGGACCTCAGCAAAAATACCGAGTGTGCCAAAATGTGCAACGTAGTGAATGTACGACTGTGCCAAGCCAGGCTGTCACTTGTGGAACGTGCTTCTTTGTGTTATGTGCATGCCCACACACTTTGCTTCCAATTAATTAATCACAATTACGAATATACTTTGACACTTCTACTTTTCCACTTGTGAATACTCAGGGTACTTGTTCCAATGTCCAGTTGGTTCAGCACTGTTTTGCTTAGCAGTGTTCTGAATGATCACTTCAGGTAAAGCCACCAGGTAAGATCTAGATGACGTCCCAGCTAGCAAAAGGGATGGGGTGGTCGCCAACTGTACCCTGCCGAGTGTAAAATAATACTGAAGGCCTTTGAATGGTGTTAACTGCTTTCTGTTTTTTCTCTTATTGTGGTTCACGTTGATTTTTTGAGAAGGTTCTGGGCTTGATATTAAATTTGCCTTGGGAGCATTTAACTTCTGTAGTCATCCCATCTGAAAGTCAAAGTTTGTGTGTCAGAATCCCCCTTCAGCAGCACTCAACATGGGATGCCAGTGGGTGTGTCGTTCCCAGACAGAGCATTTCAAGTACCAGCTGTTACCCCACGGGTTTATCAATATTAATCACTAATGGAAAGAAAGAGACATCAGTTCTGTTGGTCTGGGCCTAAAGAAAAAGTAAACTGCACTGTAAATTGAAAATCTTGAATAGCATGTGAGTCTCTTACAACTAAACAACTGAAAGAGAACTTAGGGGGAAGATTGAGGTTTGTTGGCTGTACCTGGCCTTCCCAGTCTGAATCTTCGCACTGTGGAAATGCACAACAAGAGCTGAAGCACTGAGGAGCTGGTTGGTTTTCATGAGGAAGATGGGAAAAGCACTTCAGAACGTGGGAGCCCGGATGGTTTGTTAGGAGCTTACAAGCAATTTTGATTTTGTAGTCAACTGTGTGATCAGTAAGTCATTGCAGGAGGAGTGAATTCATTGGCTAGCCGCGCTTCTTGCCAAGTGCATTTTCTGTATTTCTGTTTGTAATTAGGAAGTAACTCCCTCCAAGCTTTTTTGACCTGCCCAGAAGCATTGCAGGTGCAGGGCTGGCTTTGCTTTAAGAACGGGCTCCCCGCGCTGTACACCTAGCATGCTAAATTGAGATTCCTCAAGTTACCTCTGTATAAATAAATAGAATGTGATTTTGGTGAAAAATGTTGAGGTCACAATTCCTGTACTTTATAGAAGTTGTGGTAATAAGGGTTAGTAATTAATGCTGCCTTAACGATGACACTGCAGCATTGCCATCACCAGACCGAAAATGTGCGTTAGTTCCATTGGGAGCACAAGCTCAAGTCCATATGTGTTTCTTGAGTTAATTTAGTGATCATTACAGAATAATATAAGAAAGAAATCACAAATGTTTCAGTTGGGAAGTAAATGTAAATTGTAGAGGCACTGAAACAAAGATGTTGTGGACACGTTACAGTGCTTTAAGCAAACAGTGCTTTGCACATACGGGAGGTCCCATGTGAGCAAAACCTCATGTTGCTCAGGGCTGAGAGGTTGTTTTTACCCTTTATCCTAAAAGTTATTACAATTCAGTATATCAGAAGATGTTTTTCCCCCCCACTTTTTGTCTGGGATGTGCTGGAGCAGGAGCCAGCCTCTCTGGAACCAGAGCCTTGTGCAAGGACTTAGTCATGCAGCTCTCTCTTCCTTTTCCCGTTCCCAGTCTTTATTTATAGCGCTGCAGCTCGCTGGGAAACTGCTGCAAGGCAAGTGGAAAGTGAGGGCAGAAACTCAGGTGGGTGTTACTCAAAAAGTAAAAGTCTTCATACAGTGCTGTGCTCTTGTTTATGACTGACGGCACTGATGCAGACAGGGTCAAGAAAATAACACGTCAGGGAAGCCCGCAAATATTTGCACATTGCTGTTTTAATGTGAAGTAGAATGCATTATTTAATTTGTAGCATTGTGCAACATCATTGCTACACTGAAGTGTCCAGTGTTCTTTATAAATCCTTTTATTCAGGGTTTTCGTAATGCCGTGGAGAGGTTTTTTGGTGTGGCTTAGACTTGGTGTGGAAATGGCTTCTTTGTCTAATGTGTTTTGAAGTAAATTAAAAAGTTGTTTTCAGGTTACCCACGTTGCTCTTCAGTTCCTCATACTGAGCTCATTTAGTGAGAGCCATTCCTAAAAACAGATGCAGCCTAAGTACTTCATTTTTAAGGCAGAGCTGTAGATGGCCTGTGCTGAAAAGGACCACAGTGCTCATCAGTTCCAACCCTCTGCTGTGTGCAGGTCACCAGGCTGCCCAGAGCCACATCCTGCCTGACCTCAAATGCCTGCAGGGATGGGGCATCCACAGCCTGCTCGGGCAACAGAAATCTTTTCTTGCTGTCTTGTTGAAATTCAGGTAGTTGCCCTGATATCAGTTGCCCTGATTGTCTACAGCTGTTCTGGGGACTGAATTCAAGTGTTTGTGTGAGGATATGTCATGTCAAGTAGCTGTAGATACTGAGTTAATTGGTAGCTGAATAGAAAATCACATTTCCTTAAGTTTTAAATGATCTTCTGAGAGCACAAAAAGGATCTATTTGATATGGAAGGAAAGAAAATACAAAAAAGCATTAATTTTATTGTTACCTCTGTCCATAAGATCTCCACATCTCATTCCATGTGCATAGTGCGGAACTTCCATTTGGAGTTGCACCCTTCCTACATAGGACTGGAGGAGAGAAATCAAGTGGATTTTGGTGCTGCTGGGATCATCTTGTCCTGGTTTTGCTTTCATTTCTCTTTAGCACAGAAGTGAACATCATAGGCTTTCTTGTGCTTTATTTGTAATATATGAAATAAAATTTGCAAAAAGGTTTTGCCCTCCTCAGCTCCTCTGGGTTCCCTCCTTCCCCTCATTACTTACTAACCACTCTCCTTGAGCCTTCATCTGCAGGTTTTCTGCTCTCACCTTCATCTGTGGCTTTTCTTTTTAATGATTTGGTATTTGTTACAACTAATTTGGAAGCCCACGTGAAAATTACAGGAAGGCAGGCTTCAGGGCTGGGCCTGTGACTGCTTGATAGTAATTGAATCCTTTTCTCTAACTTCATCTGATGGTTGTGTAGTGTACTATTGTATCCTTACAAGGAGCTGTGAAATAATACCACGGGGCTATAAAAGGTCTGGAGAGTCTGTCTGCATTGAATTTCTCCAGCTTCACAGAAGCATGTTTGCAAACTTTCCCCAGCTTCCAGCGTCAGCAGTGTGGCACTGAGTGGTTAAGCATGGCTCTTCCCAGCTCGGGGGGCGAGATGAGCCATAAATACTGCTGGGCTGTAATTTGGCTGACAGGATACCTTTAACTGATAACACCAGCTCTTCCCCCACTGACCCATTTAATCAGGATACCGTGCATGTTGACTAAGCACAGCTTGGTCTGGCAGCCTGAACTTAGTTAGCTGCTCTTTTCACAAAATTACTATCTTTGGTTGTGTCGGTGTCCCACACCTAGGCTGTAACCTCACAAGTTAATACGGGCTTTGCTGTCAGAGCAAATAAGCACAAGTGGGGAAAGTGGGGTGCCAGACCTTCATCACCAGCTCCCCAGGGCTGCGTTCTGAAGAGCTGCCGCTTAATGAAGGGCTCCTGTGCTCCTCTTACCCGGGTGGGGGGTGGGGAGGCAGAAGCCAGCAGTGCCTGGCAGTCCCAGCCCTGAGCAGGGGTTTGCCTCGCGCCGCTGAGCTGCTGCAGCTGGGGCACTGCTGGGAGGGAGCTCAGTGGGCATTGGGCACCACAGCCACGCAGCTGCAGGTGAGGCAAATCAGCTCGTTATCCTTGCCAGGGCAGAGGGATGGCTTATTTCCTGAAAAGGATCTTCAGTTGTTATTTTACCCTTGGCCACTAACCTTGCGATGAACGTAGAAATGCTGTAGATAAGTACCCATGTGAACGTACTAATGAGTTGCCTGCGTTGAGTGATTTGTTGTGGCATCTAACTGCTTCTTCTCTTCCTTCCTTTTTGTCACCCTGCAGTGTTCTGTGCCAAGGTCTTTGTGGCTAGGCTGCTCCAACCTGGTAGAGAGCATGTGCGCACTGAGATGCCTGCAGAGCATGCCCAGTGTCAGATGTCTCCAGGTGCCTTTCTTCTTTCTTGTTGTAAATGTTATGCGTATGCTGTTGAACTTTGTTAAACTCGTAGGACTCTTGTTTAATCAAATTGTTAAGTCTGCTAAATGTTTTTTGTGCATCCTTTTTCTGAAATCTTCTACTTAACTGCACTGTAGGGGTGAACCTTAAGAGTGCTTTCTGTACAGGAGGTTCTCTGGGGGGTGGTGAGCTTTTGTGTTTTATTGCCTGTTTATGAAGTTGTGATATAAGTAGCATAGTTGTGCATGTTGCCTGCTACGTTTTGCTTTCTTGTTTAATTTAAAAAAACAAAAACAAAAAACAACAAAAACCCACAACACATAATGAGCTTTGCCATTTCTCTTAAACTGCAATGAACTGAATAGCCTGTAATGTTTTTGTGATTTAATTTAGAAAGGATAAGCTTTTAATTTTCTACTAAATACAGCCCTGGTTACAGCCTTACTTTCATCATTGCGCATGTTTGAATGCAGGGCAGTCAGCATGGAGCCCTGCAGCTCTTGGAGTTCACAGAGTCCCTTAGCACTTCAGCTTCTGAAAGTGAGGAGCAGGGGGTGGGGGTGGCTCTTACTGATGGGGAATTGCTGCTGTTGCTTTACTGGTGTGGGAGGGACTGGAAAAGATAAATAATGAAACAGAGATTTTTGATACCAGCTCAGTTTTGAACTCCCAAAATATTTACCTTGGAAAGTAAATGCAGAACATGTGCATTATCTGTGTGGCACTTCCTGAAGTGTTTGGGGATGTATAATTGGTAGCAGATGTCATGATTATTTCATATTGGTAACTTCTGTAACGCAGTGGCATTGTTCAGTGGTTCGGTCTGCACAAAATGAATGTTTGAGAGACACTGCTTTTGTGAATGAGAACGTAAGCAAGCTGAGCTTTGTTTGCAGTCAGTCTGTTTCCACTCAGACACGGGGTAATGTGAATGCTTTGCCTTAGAGAGTAACAGTCTGCCTGAGAACCTCTGGCATGCAAAATGCAGCTCTGGATTTCGAAATTAAACTTTAGGATTTCTGTTAAAATACGTTTTTTTTTCTGTTGAAATGTTTTGTGTTTTCGGTTTTTAAGTGAAGGAGAATAAAGTTTCTAGGGTGAATGTACAGATGGATAGCAGTCCTACAGGAAGCGCTACTGCATCGTGGCCAAACCCTGGTAACAGCAGATGTTTGTAATCACGACAGTGTGGGACAGAGGTTGGAGCTGCCCTTGGATTTTGGGCATGCAGCTGTGTGGAACGGCCTGAGAACAGATAGCAGCAATTCTGCTGTTAATAACAGGCTTCTAGGTGGTGGCTGAGTGTCTTGGTTTTGTGACTGCAGGCTGTGAGGGGGTAAGCTGCTGGGCCACGTGTTGGGCTGGCTGGGCTCTGTCTGGGTTGGAGTCTGGATTTCAAGCAGAGTGTGCGTGTCTGCAAATCTGGAAACTGGGAGGACTCAACTCTTTAGTAGTACTGAATTGAAATAATGGCAAATTTTGTTATTATGAGCAGTTTTTAACAGGTAGTTAGTTGTCTGAGCTTGCACCTGCTACATTTACCAGGCTGAGCGTTAGATGAATATAAGCTGACTTCTGTTGGTATTACTGATTGTAGGAGAAAATACTGAACTGTGTCGGTGAATGCACTGCTGGCTACACAGAGTGTTCTGGTAAGGTGAGGCTGGAGAGCTGTCTTCAGCAGGCTGCTCACAGAGCCAGCTGTAGCCAACATTACTGCTACATAACAGTGTTCCAAAATAAAGGCCTTTATGTGTGTGTGTGCAGCAGTCAGATTTCTTGTAGAACTGCAACCGAGGTAAAGAGTTGTTCAATCTTTTAGAAGCAGCTGTGAGGGATTTAGAAAAAGAGCTCTCATTTCAGGCATGTGACTCCGTGAGCCCATGGGGAACTTGGAAATGAAAGTGGCACCAGCTTTCTTTCCCCTTTTCTTATTTTTGGCACCTCGACTTGCCTTTTGTTGTTCTTTAGCTTATAAGCCTGTGTGTAGAAATGGGTAGGGCACGTCTACCTGGAGATATGTGATCAGTAATATTAGATTAATGGTGATTAATAGTGAGTTCAAGGAGGGGAATTGAGAAGCCCTTCAGTGGCGTGAAATTATCAGTGTTGTATCAGTTATCTGTGTTTATATGTGTAGGGTAGCTAGTGAATGGTCCAAAGGAGGAAGGAATCCTAGTCTTGAGCCTGAAGCTTTTGCAGTTTCTTCAGGAGGTTCTGCTCCATCTTAGCCCCTTGTAGAATATTCAGGAGTGACCTTACACCAACCTGGAAGAAGGAAGCTGAGGTTAGGTGTAGCAATGCCATAAATCCTCGCTGTGCTTCTAAAATCAAACGGCAGCACTCAAGCAGATGTCCTGCGGTGCCAGTAGGTTGGATGGCCACGTTCTGATTCTTTAGGTGGAGTCATACTTTGTATTCTGTGCTTTCCTCTTGCAGAGAAATACCTGCTTATTTTGTGGGATTTTCTGGGCAGATGCCCTGCCTGAGGCAGGGAGTTGGGAGTTGGGATCGATGATCCTTGAGGTCCCTTCCAAGCCATTCTTTGAATATTTGCCCTCTTTCTGTGACCTGTTAGTGAACGGGCAGAGATAGATAACTTAAAAAAAACCCACACCATGGCTGGTGTTACTGCATGGAAAAGCATGTACTGAATGCCAATTACGTGTTGGAAGTACTGTGGAATCCGAGGGCTTATTTGTAACTACTGAATTGTCTTTAATAGTGGTTTAGTAACAAGGCGTTCACCTTCCTGTTCTGAACACACTTGGATTCAAATAGCTGCTGTTCTCATCCTATCTTTAATACAGATTTGACTGCAAGACTGAAAGCAGGCCGTTGCCTTACCTGAGCATTCCTACCGGTGTGCCTTTCTTGCTCACCCTGCTCACAGCCCTCCAACGTGGTTTCCTTGCTGCTCCTTTTTATTTGCTGTCTGTCAGGCATCAGTCTTCGTTGTCTGCAGTGTCCCTTGCCTCCTTAGCACTCCCCCAGGGCTGTGCACCGCAGGGAGGTGACATTGGTGTGGTTCTTGCCAGAGCCCTTCCTGCTTGCACGTTACAGCAGGAGTGCATTGATTTACTCCCGTAACTGGAAGCTGTCTTTGCAGAAACGTCTTAAAAGCCTTTTGAATTGACCAATTCATAATTTATTGCTGCTTGGAGGAACTTACAATTTGCAAGTGGAGTTATGAAGTGTTAGGGCTTCAATATTCTTTGCCTTATGATGGCATACTCTGCAAAGGAAATGATTTTCTGGCGATGGGGAATCTCAGTGCTATCACAGCTGAGCGAGGGCACGAAGAAGAAAATTTAATTTATGTATTGGAAAGATACAATTTAATGTGAATTTGCCAACACTTCTATTTGTTATTCTTGACTAATTTTGAGTTTCTGGTGTTGGCTTTTCTATTCAGAGACCAGATGGAAGTATAAAAATGGAAACTAGAACCGGAGAAAATGGTATCTGAAAACTAAGAATTGATTTATCGATATGAAAACTTCAGCATCTTATTTTTGTATCGCCGTGCTGTCGTTCTCACAGCACAGATTCAGACACGGACTTGAAGCAGGATTCTTGCAATCCCGAGTGCTGTAGGTGCGTTCTGTTCAAACCTTTTCCTACGATGTGCAAAATCACAAATGGGAGAATGATGAATAGCCTGTCACCGTGCAGCCTGCCTCCTTCTGAAAATGTTATTCCTCCCTGCAGCTGTTAAAATGAGTTGTAATAGCCAGACAACTGCTTTCCTTCTCCTCTTAGGTTTGAAATCATTTACAAATATTTCCTTGACATGTTTTCTGGTATGTTGCCTCAAAACAGTCGGACTGTTACTGTTCCTTCTTGGAAACAGTCCAACAGGTCCATTAAAAGAAATGCAGATTTGATTCCTTTTCTTGTTTGTTTTTTTGGAAGGAACACAGCGTTCTCTCCAATCTCTGAAATATTTGTGCTTGCCCCTCTGCTTTAAACAGGCTTCTTTTTGAGACACAAAGCTGTAGAGCCAAGCCCAGTTTTTGCAGAAGGCTCTCGTGATGGTTGGACTCGAGGATCGTAGTGGGCTTTTCCAACCTTAATGACTGCATGTTCTGTGATTCAAGCTGTAGATAGTGGCTCAGCACACCCGTTGCTATTTTATGCAGTGGGATGGTGCTAGGTCTGTAAGCCTGATGGTAAATGCCCATTTTTCTCCCTGCTCATCAGCAGTGGATACTAGGAGAACATAGATGTTTCTCCTAGTTGAGGCTGAGCCTCCTCCAAAAATGAACAGCAATTGGAGAGGTTTAGGTTGGATATTAGGAGGAAGTTTTTCACACAGAGCATGGTGATGCACTGGAACAGGTTGCCCAAGGAGGCTGTGGATGCCCCATCCCTGGAGGCATTCAAGGCCAGGCTGGATGTGGCTCTGGGCAGCCTGGGCTGCTGGTTGGTGACCCTGCACACAGCTAGGGGTTGGAACTGGATGAGCATTGTGGTCCTTTTCAACCCAGGCCATTCTATGATTCTTAGTGTCTGCTGCAGGTTCTGAGGGCTGCTGCAAGAGCTCAGTTTGATGTTTGCTGCACAGACAGCGATTGCAAGGTTTTTACCCAGCCCTCGTATTCTCCTCTCACCCATGCTCTGGTGCTGGGGCGTTTCTCTCTGCGCAGTGCCCAGAGCAGATCTCCCAGGTGCCCAGCACAGCTTTGTGCTGCACAGCCCTGATGAGGGCTGGACACCCATGGGATGAGGAATTGTGAAGTGCAGGGAGATTTTTTTTTCTCCCAGGAATGATTTATTATCCAGAAGAAAGTGTTGCGATAAGCACTTTTTTCAGTCATCCTTTGTGTATCTGAGTGCTTTCAGTTTTATGACTTTAATTATTAACTAGGCCTGCTGTTTTGTCGGGGCAAGAAGAGAGACCTTCACTTTATTGGGTCAATTTACAGTGTTTATTTTTAAGCAGAAGAGAATGGTTACTTGCTGGATGACTTTGAGTGTTAGCCCGT